GGCGTTAGGTGTTTTGTGGATTTAGGCTGGTTTCTTTGCTCAGATGTGACCCTAGCGGACAATACAAAGGAAACTCAAGTGAAAACTCAAGCTGAGCGTAGCTAATGCGTAAGCAAAGCTCGCGACTTGAATATAAGTTAATAAATTAGGATAATACTTTCGAGCGCTAGCAATTTTGAGTATACTTGGCGCGCTGAGATGAAAATTGCTATTTTATTCACAAAAAGATATAATATTTCCAGCGATAAGCAGACTTTATTACTTTTTAAATTATGCATTGTTTGTTTAATTTGATTTCGGAAAATATTTCGATCATGAAAGTAGGTCGATTGTCAACAGCTATCGATGTCATGCACAGGCGATGATTGTTTAATACACTCGACGATATAATAAACGCCACTCGATCGTCTGCCTCTTCCGACAGGGATGCGTGCGTACGGCCCAAATATCGAATTGTGAGGTATATCACCGGACAGTTAGATCAGGAACAGTGAGAACATGAGCACGTGTGTGACAGACAATCATTGTTCTTTGAAATCAATATCGACGCATTGAATATTGAATTCGGAGCGCAAATCAAATATTCAATCGAGTCAATCAAGTCAATTAAAATTTTTCGTTCATAAATTAAATGCATTGACCCACATAGGTTACTTTAAAATTATAATTAACATTCCATGTAGTTTCCAGTTGATAAATGTCAAGGTATCCACCCCGGGCTAATAATACATTTATTGATCACTTTTATGCTAATCCAAGGCGGAATTTTACAAGTTAACTCAATTACACACACTTATAACTTACACTTAACCTTCTCTGAAGAGTAAGGGAGTCTAAGAGGATGGCGCTGGATGACTGTTCAAAGGATGACTCGGATGCATTTCGAGCGCAGAAGGAAACGAACAATTTCCGCGCGCATTGTTCGTCCGCGCCGTTAATATATCGATTCGCTCTGACTAATTGCCTAAAGTTCGCTTTGTGCTGCTGCGGATTTCTGTCGCTTTGTGCGCTGATAGTTAATGCGGCAGTCGATGATGACAAAAGAGTAAAAGCTCGGCTAATTGTGAGTCGTTACTTTCCAACGAAAGAAAAACGTTTTAAAAATTTTTTTGGCTTTCAATTCTTAGATCGAAGTCGCAATCTCGCCGGGCTCGTAGTCATTTGTTGTTCGTGTACTTTATCGAGTTATCGATTCGATGCAATCGGTCGTGGCGCGTCCCATCGTCGAATTGATTCGATTGTTCTGGAATTCCAAACGTTTCGAACCTTTTTATTGCTTTCGTTTTCGTTTTATGTTATTGGAATCGTCTTCGGACGAGTATTGATTGATGAAGTCCACAAAACTTTACTAGTTTAAAATTTGTCAATCATTTAAGGGTAGATGTTGGAAATAATTCCGTATAACATGCGATGGTTGAGCGAAAAAAAATTGGGTTGAAAGTTGACGGGGTGAAAAAATCGTGCAGGGTTGCAACTTTCCGGGGTTCCGCATAACCATTCGAAGATTAACTGCGACAGCTTTATTGTTCGGCCTCATAAAGAATGGCAATTGAGTTTTTTCGCAACTGCCCGAAAAGCTGCTTTATTTTTCGCCCGCTTTTCCAACCGCATAAAAATGTGCTTTTGTAAAAACTATCCGCGCCGTTTTATTGCAGCGTTTCCGAAAACATGCTGTATATTTAAAGCGATGCGAAAGAGAAACTTCCAGGCGGCGGTGAGGCGGTCGGTCGGATGGCAAAGGAATGCGCCGCGATATTCCTTTGATGTTGACATTACACAAAAGGATGGAAATCGGGCACGGTTATACTCACTCGCATCCAGCCGCTTATGCACACCGTCGAATAGGCCCCAAAGGCCGAGGCGGCAACGAGGTAAAGGCACATCGGGATTGTCAGGCGTATTGATGCCGCAAGGACGACGCGTCGGGAGGTTCACAGCTCCGACGAAAACCGGTGTGTCTACACGAGTGAGAAGAGCTCCGTATATCGTGGCGCGCCACCCCTCGGCGAAATGCAAATAGTGTTTAAAGTTCTTTGATGGACTTTCCTCGGAAGTTTCACGCGCGCATTGTTTACATTATAGACGTGCCATTTTCGAAATTATCAACTCCTCAACCCCTAAGACACAAACAGTAATTGATCCGAGGTGGTGGGAGTTTTAAAAAGTATGGATTGGTTTTTGTTTGTTTTGTTTGTGTTGATATATGTTAGATGGGTGCAAAGCGAGAAACGTGATTGAGTGAAGTGTCTTTAAGTGTATTTTCGAGTATGCGACTCGCGATATGTTTGTTGTTGTTGTTGTTGTTCTGTGTGGATGGTGGAAACAAGCGTTGTTTATCTTACATATGGCAGAATCGTGTCGCGAGTAATAGAAACCCGCCCCAAACAGCATCCCCCACGGTGCTGCTGCTGTTATTCTGTGTATACCTATCGTTCATCAAGCGACCACTTCTGGTCGAGTTTGAGGTGATGATTGTCTTCTGAATGCACAAATCGGGAATCTTGTACACTTGGTGAGCGTATGTGTGTGGGTAAGTTGGAAATGTGATTTCCCACTCTGTCATAACGTAATTAGATCGCGCTCGGATTTCAAAGGGCACTTAACGGTCCGCGCCGCGACGTCAACGCCAGACGTTGGCCCTACCCTCCTCCTTACTTTTGCGCTCTTTGTGCCGCACCCGGAGATTGGAATATCCGCACGCACATTTTCGACACCGGCAAAAACTAAAACTAAGTTTGAGTTAGAGAACAAGTACCAGAGGAAGAAAAAAAAAACAATGCTTAGTTGGTCCGAGGGTTGCAGCTGACGTTGAAGCTGCAGATAGAGTTGTTGCGGTGATAGTTAGCTGATTACTGTCGAGTGGAGTGAACTTTTGTAAAACTTAAATCCAACACTATTATTTTTACCACTCAAATTGTACCTACTACTTCTAAGCTTTGGTTGTTTATAAAAAAAAATCTCCAAGAAAATCGAGTGTTGATTTTAATTAAAAATTCCATCAAATTAATATAAAATAAAAATTTGCGCACAGATTGATGAGCGTTTGGCATTTTCGGAGAATTTTCTAATACCGGCTGCGTAATTTGACATTTGGAATGTTCCTCAACCTCCACTTAATGCTCCTCTCACGACTGCAGAGCGTAAAGAATGCGCTGGCGTTGAGTGGCATCGGAATTTTGATGAAAATCGAATTAAATTTCGCCCGACTTTCGGACCGCCCAGCATTATTCATCGACTGCGGCATAATTGAACGCAGGTCTTTAATAGTTGCCAATTTTCGCGCCCTGGAAACACTAATTGCCGCTTCTGGGAAATTTTGCACGGCCGAGAGCAAAATGCAAGGCAGCTAAAGATTTATCTAATAACATTAGAAGTTGGAAGTTGGAAGTTGAAAGTGAATTTTATCTTTATGTTGGACAATTTCTCTATATCAGCATCATTTATCTTTATATAAATAAAAAACGAAACAAATTTGTTTTTGGAGACGATTCCTCCGAGTGTTTACACGTCCTCATATGAATAACAATTTATTTTTTATATACTGCTGGATTACTCCAGGGAAAGAATATATTAGCTTCTATCCGAGAATATGACGAATGTTCTTAGTGATCCGTCATTTTCTGACACAACTAATACTTTAGGACCTTCCATGCACTCGAAATTACTTTTTTCGGGAATATTTTTATGTATGTAACTGAATTCGCTCATCATTTATTCGCAGCTAGACCCTATTTGCGCACAATGGTGGTGTGTGGTCACGAGGTCCCATCTGTACTGTAATAAAGTACGAAATTGAATTCATTACGCGACACGGCCGCCTCCTTTGCGCGGCGCGCGCGGTAATGAAGTAAGGATGGATGTCGGGGCCCGGCCAATTCCTCCCCCAAACCTCGCGCAACTTCCATTATTGCCATCCGCTGGCGCACATGCGACCCATTTTCTCATTTCGGAATTTAACTCTCGCGCGCTCACCCCCTCACATACCTACTACCCGCCTCTTTCTACGACCACTACTCAAAGTCTAATACATTACACTTTAGCCTATGTTAGGTGAATGGAATCAAGTCGGGGGATCCATTTAGAATTTACTTTTCGATTCCATTTGCAAGTGCTTCTTGCACTTCTGACATTACGCTCGGATAAATTCGTTTGTAATGCGTTGATTTAACTCCTTTAGGCGAACATTATCGAGGTTTTTCTTCTTGCGGTGTGGTAAATTGTGATGTTGATGAAAAGAAGCATAATTCTACAAATATGTACTTTAGTACTTTATTAAGCCGCACTAATTGGATGCTGGTTCAGCCGGTCGGTGATTAGTCCACGAGTGTTTTTTTCGTGAGCGGCTCGCAGGGGAGCAAATTAGTAGGGCGCGGCTGGAAGACGTTGCTCATTTTTTCTGTCTGTCTGTCTTCCCCACGAGGATGTTAATTAATCAAACGCATTTAATTATAACCACAAAAAACGAATTTAATGGACAACATCTTTTAAATCATTTTCAATCCAGTAGTTTGAAGTTGGAGATAGAGGTAAATTTATCTCGGGGTTGGTGTTTAATTAGGCCGCTGGCTATTACCTCAACAAAACCTCGAATTCGAATTTATTAGTGTTTCGGGAACCCGGACCGAATCCGATGTTTTGCGGTCCGGTGCAAAACAGCCGCAAGCTCTCAAGTGAAACAATCCAAATATATTCTCACAATAATTACTTAAATCAACATGGGATAACTATTAAGGATAACTAGTATTTGAAGAAATAAGGATTTTGTTGTTTTAGTTTTTATTTACTCTGCTTTACTGTTTGTGTACATAGGTACTACTTTGATGTGTATTTTAGATGGATGTACCTCCTGTGCTCTACTATTTGACATTCTTGTATTAATCTCTATCCTCTTGGACTAACCGACTCTTGTATTAGACCTGTACGATAATTTGACGGCGGACGTGCGCGCACCTGCAGCGCGGTAATTAATGCGACTAATGACGACGCTAATTAATTTGCAGGAGCGGTCGGCGGAGACGGCGACGATGGCGACGACAAAGAGAAAGAGGAGGAGGCGGAGCGGGAGCGCCAGGAGGCCATCCGCGAAGCCGAAGAGCGACGGAAAGAGAAGCACCGGAAGATGGAGGAGGAGAGGGAAAAGATGAGGCAGGAAATAAGAGATAAGGTGAGTTACGCGGCGCAGCCAATGACACCGAATGAAATTATTTATGCATTGTGAAAAAATATAAATTAGATCACAAAAAGCGCGATGATATTATTATTTTAAATTATTTTAAAACGCATTTAAACGGGTGAAAATTTCGACTTTGTTAAGCTTATTAGCGCGTGATGACACTGTGATTACGTTGTCATCATTTAATAAGATTATTCATTCTGTTTTGTTTGCGAGCTAGAGATGCGACTTTTTCGAGCGTTGTTGTTTCCTAATTAAGAGCTCACAAAACAAAATGAACGGATGCGTCTGGTCTTTTGTTCGAAGTGGCAAAGTCTCGCTTAATTAAAATTTTCACGTCGGAAGTCACGCAAAAAATAGTTCATGAATATACCCAACCGAAAGTTAAATGTTAATTATTTAATTTTGTTTCAGGTGAGTTTCAAGCGAATTTAATGCTGTGAAATACTGCAAATTAAGGTAAAATAGAAAATATTTTTTGAACGACGCATAGAATTTTTTTCCCGGCGCGGTTTGATGTGAATGTTACATCAACGTCGTGCTCGTTTTGCCGAATTGTTTAATTTAAACTAACTGCTGAATATTAATGCCGCATTAGGGGCTTAACGAGCCGTAGAAATTGCCGACACGGCAACATCGAACCGTGCACGAACAAACACCCATACGGATGCTCTAGTGCGCTCACGTTTTGTGTAACATCAACAACTAACGAGCGATCCAACGATCCAACAACATTGTTTGAGTGTGCGTACAACAGTAGAACCAAAAGTTCACAATGTAGCCTACCACTGCAACTAACTCTTATCTGGTCATTGATTAATCAGCATTCGAGAGTGCGAAATTGAAACATATTGAAATACGTATCAATTTATTTAGTTACCATTATGTAGTTAAATATTTAATATACATTAACAATTATTCTAGAAAATTTAAACCAGTCATATTTATAATTATTATTGTTTTTGTAGAGTTGCGCGTAAACTTGTGCAAAGTACACAGTAAAATTTTAACAACGTGTTTGATTAAGTGGAGGCGCCGGGCTGGTGTGCTTTCATGCGCTGTTTGTGAGCGCACGAGTCCGATAAATGCATGCAAATACGTAGGCACGGTATTATTCGCGCAATAATCGTAATCCTAATCGCGACGACAAGCGAGCCGGCGGCAATTACGCGATTTCCACGCATCCCAGCCATTGTGGCCGAGGCATCGCCGGAGGTGTTTTTATTGCCTGCGCTATTAATAAAACACACACACTCTACATGAATGTGCAGGCATCTAGTATATATTCAAGTGCAGTTAAACTCAAAGCTGGATTTTTATCGTCCTTGGTTTATTGATAAAAACTACAAACTACTACAAAATACGAAAAGAAGAAATTTAAATTTTTTATTTTTATATTTGACCAAAACATGACGCAATGTGCAGAAATGTTGTTTGAAGCAAAAAGTTAAATAAAAAAACAGGAAGTTGGGATAGAAGCACTTCTTGTGGAATTTATCAGCAGTACAATGTTCGTTGCGAGCGCCCTGCGGCGATAAGCAGCCGTAATTTCCATTTACCTCCGTGGATAAACGCGTACCTCATGCGGCACGCTACAAAATGGCGCAGATTATTTTTGTGTTATCGCTTGTACTCCACTTTAACGAACATCCTTATAATGTAAATGATACTCGCGCACAAAGCGAGCTTAAAATTTATAATGAATGCTAGCGCCGATATTTTCTGCGTGTGACATGTACATTTATTCTTAACTTATTCACGAAAATAAATCGAAAAATAATATCATGCGCAAAAAAGCTCACTCGAACTTGGCCTGCATTATTATTTACCTAATCTAGCCTGTCATACCGTATAGGTGCTGCCTGTGTAAGACTCTGAATTTATTTTTTATTTTTATTTTTTTCGTCGGCGATGTAATATTAACTCGAATTGTGTCGCGCCTTGAAAGCTTTTTTCTTCGGAGGCTGCTCCTCGTTATTTTTCCCAACGCACACACAAATTGCAGCCGGCGGGCCTAATTTACTTTCCATCTTCTTGAGAGTGTTGAACATTGCGCGCACGTAGCCGGCCGAAAAATTTCCCGTTGTTTTCTGAATGCACACCGTCGCGTTCTGCTTGATTGCCGTAACCGCAACATCGTGTTTGCGTATCTTATATACCTTATCGACATATTTTTTCTGGTTAAAACATGCTCACGTTTTGTGAAGAATTTTCTTTATGACTGCGCATTTATTCATGTGCGGATAGGGTTTTATTTTACAATGTTTTCGGAGTGTTTTTTAACGATTCGCGTTTTACATGTTGTGCCTGCCACGTGTGACAGGCTGAAGCTGTGTCCTGATTTACGAACAACTCATACGCGTACGTTAATCATGCGAGGACAAAAAAGGCTCTTGTCATCATCATAAAGCCACACGACGTGACTTTCAAGCTTTTCGTTTTAATTAGACCGAGATTTTTTACATTTAAAATTTATTTACTTTATCATTTTAACAGGGAGAAAATAAAAACCAAAAAGAAACTTACTAGAGTGCTCAGAGTATATAGAGATATTTTTAGGACAAGGTCATAACTTTCCGGTTGAGTTTGTTATTGATCTAACTAGAAAAACAGGCCAACTAAACTTTAACCTTTGTTTTGGTTTTATCAGAATCCAACTATGAACACACTGTGTGCGCGCGCGCCTTAAAATGTTACTAATATGTTTTTAGCCAGCGCGAAAGTGAGTTTAATGGATGTTCGAGCTTGTTACCTGTTATGTAACATTATGACAGCGACTTAGGTGTACGTCGAATTGATTGCATGCTACGTGGCGTGCACGAGCGCTGAAGTCATCCGCATCCTCACGCTTGTCACTCATTCACAAAATACATAAAAGACTCTTATCCGCACATTGAAAACGTGCTTCACTCTGAATATACTGAATACACGAAAATTTCGAATAATTTCTTAAATTTTCCAAACTTGAAAATCATGATCCTACATTTTATACTAAATGTAGGCAACCAACTGTACGTCAGTATTGTGCGCTATTGTCTGGCGTTGTTCCAACGCATCGAACACGATTTTTTGTGACACGGATGTATTATTACGAATATATCTTTGAAGGGGTGGTACGTGAATTCACTTTTAAGAGTAGCGCACACAAGGACACGTGAGGACGCGGACGTGCGAGACACCGTCTTGAAAATTTATATTTTCCTCGTGGTGCATTTGCACGCTCTCATTGCGAGGATGTGTAGAGCTTTTTCTTTCAAGAGATAGATCTTTAGGGAGAAGGTGAAACTCGAGCTTTGAGCTTTCGAGCATTTGACGGCGTGTCGAGGGCTCCAATTAGCGATACGCGTTTCTTTTATTCCCGTTTTCCGGTTTTCATGTTTTGATGTTTGCGCCGGCAAGATGGCGGCGCTATAGCACTCGAAATTGCCAGCAAATTAATTACTATTAGTGGCGATTTTTTGCCTACATTGTTCATTAATTCATAGTTGAATTTTGACCTAGATTTTGGTGGCAGTCGACTAATTTCAATTTGGTTTAGAGAGCCTCAACACGCACGTCCAGCGGGCTAATTTAACAGGAGCGTCAAGAGCAACGTGAATAATTAGGAGCTATTGTTTTCCATTAATTGCAATTAATGATTACGCTATAAATCATTATAATTTCGTCCATTTCATTAAACAAGCATCATAATTATCGGCAAGCCTTTATTACCAGTTTGTTAGTTAATTGTAATAAACAAATCAACAAAGCACGAATTGAAACGGGACAAAGAAAACAAAGGCTGATATGCAACTAACATAACACAACATGCTGTGTAGACTATTTTAAACAAAACATGTTTGTTTTCTTTATTACTAAAAAGACGAGAATTAACAAAACATGGCATTATTAGTGTCGTGTAAACTGAAGCTTAATTAACGTCACGTCACTCTGTAATTACTTCATACTTTCCATTCGCTCGATTTCCTATTATAAAAGGTCTTGAGAAAATGTGAGCGAACGAAGTATTGCATGTCACATGTTGGAAATGTAGGCAGCCAAGATAGCATCTATTTGAATATTGAGTTGCGTACGTCGTAAAAGTTGAAAAGGACTCGCGGTTCACGAAATTAAATATTTATACTTTTAATCTATGCGTGACGCTGTTTGAAAGTTTTTTAACTGTCATCTTCGCGTAGTTTATTCATAAAAGGTTGAAACTTTTCGAATTTGTTTAAAAGTCGCCCGTGCGTACCCACTCGCGGCTGGTTTTCTTTCGGATCGTAAAATAAAATTGCCTTATATAAAATTTACGACGTTGTTCTTCTTAGGCGTGCGCGAGGTGATCGCACGTCGAACGTTTTGCTTATGCAATTCCTTTGCAGCAATGTTTTATGCGCGTCGAAGGTATAAATATTTTTATATTTATAAAACGTAAAATATTGTTTAGTGTGCTGCTCGATATATGCGCGCTTGTGGCGCACATACACTTACGACGTCTGTTCTGCGGGGGTGAAATATCGGCTGGTATCGTTGGTAACGTATGGCTCAGTGGCACGATATCGCGTACAATTTACCGATGAAAAAGTAGCAACCGCCCTGTTTTAGTGCTCCGGCGAGCTTGTGCATTCGGATAGTGGGTAGCCGGCCGAAATTTATCGCGTTTCATTCGTGTCCGAAAAATTTGATAAATGACCCGGCCGCGCTTGTTTCCTCCGCGTGGGCTATTTTTGTGTGTGGCCGCCCATGCCAATAACGTAAACAAAAACAAGCGAATGTTATTATTAAATATTATAATTTAAGACTTTTTCCCAACTTTTTGTTTCATTGCGCATCTGTTGTTGTCTGGGCTGTCCCGCGCCGTGTTCAAATTCGGCAAAGTTTATTACATTACTCCGGAAATTTGAATAATTCATGGCTTGAAAAACAAGCGACGGCGTGTGCGCATATCAACTTGAAAATGTGGTTTTGCCAAGCTGCTTACGAGGCTTATGTTTATTTTAATTTATTTTGAATTCAAATAACTCGCGCAACTCCACTTCAAACTTGGAATTTTGTAAAAACAAGCGATCTTGTGAATATGCATCAAATAAATACCTAATCACTTTTATTTTACAAATAAATCATTCAGGACTAGCTTTTGCCCGCGACTTCGTTCCGGTAGTGTTTAATAAAAATGTAATTCGTTTTTATTCTCTTGTTCTAGACATAGTATGTGTCAATTCTATCAATAATATTCGCAATTTTATGTTAAACAAATTAATTATATAAAGAATTGCTTATAATGCACTACCGTGCGCCATCTCGGATTCAACTATTTAACTATAACTATGATTGAATCTCAATGCCAACTTTTATCTTATAGAAAAGAGCTGTCTTTATGGTTTTCCTGAACGGCTAGTTCTGTATAAGTTGTCAATTTTTTTTTTGTTCATGTAAATTCTGTTTTACTACATTTCTGCGGAACTTCAGCAAGTAAAGTTTTTCTTTTTTGAAATTCCCAGTTGCATTGCCATATTTTCGTAATATTCTCTTTTGCGCTTTTCATAGGTCTCAAATTTATGAAATTTCGTGAAAAGTGATGCGGGTTCGCAGTTATCGCAACTTTCGCATCTCATGCCTTCGGCTCGTATCAAAGAGCAACGTTTCAATTTGAAATAGTACATTTTGATCGCATTAAGTTGAAAACGCTCGCCGGGCGAATATAATAAATTTAATGAAATTGGAAACGCGAGCGCCCAAAACTGTCTCTCATAATCATCGCCCCTAATCGCATTAAATGCGATGACAAACGTTTTTGGCACTGGTAATGAACCCAAAATTCTCCAATTAATGATGCATTCAATTTTATTGCCGAAAACGTTTAAATAAAATTTCACGGTTTCAAAGGGTTGACGCATATTAAATATGAAGTGGGATCCGGTTGCAACATTTTTGCTAAAGCGGTATTTTATGCAAACATGTTGAGACACACTTTAAGAGACAAGCACAGAGAAGAGGGCCCCATCGTAAAATGTGGAAAAAGTTCAAGCGCCCGAGGGAAAACAGGAAATGTTTACGCCGCTGCAAGGAGGCACATAAAAATGGCTAACAAGCGCAACGCGTTTTTTGCGCGGATCCTTCCTGCATTTCGCCGAGTTTCGGCGCGCGCGTTATTTATATTTTAGCCGAGCGCACCCGTGTCGCGCGCAAACTTGCCGCACGGAAACAGAGACGATGGATTATTTACAAGTTTGCTTTGTAATTAAAAGTTTAATTAACGAAAAGCGGCGCAATCCCTTGCTGAAAATTACAATTTGCATTTCTGAATAAAAATATGCAGCATAAAACGGCAATAAAATAAAGAAAAAAGGAATAAATGAAATAAAATTTGTACGAAAAGACGAGAAAAATGTTTTGCATCTCATGGGGAGAGGCTGGATTTGGTCCACGGGACTTGCGAAAAGAGCCAAAAGTGGTATTTTATAGTTTTTTTCGAAAAAGAAAAACTCCGGGTTCGATGGTGATGGCGGCGCGCCAAAAGTCGTAAAATTTATTGCTGTCGCTCGGAGAGCATCGCCGAGAGAAGAAGATCCGCTTGGCAGTCGGCATTGCCTCGGAAAGTTTGGACCGAGCAGAGAAGTTTGCCACGTCGTTGTCGTCGCCAGGGCTGCGTGTCGCCGGAAACTTAATCGGGGTCAAATTGACTCTAGTAGGGAGTCCGTTACTTTATAGCGACTCCCTAACGGAGTCAGGTTGACTCCCTTTGAGGGAATACTACGGACCTGCTCATCACCGAACGTCGTGCTTGAGACTGATGGGCCGCTATCGTGTAATCACCACGCACCCCAAACCGATCCATTCAATTGAGTGAAGCTTATCTTCATCATTTATTTTTTTCACAAATCAGAATTGACATGGAATTTTCTTATGAGGTCAAACGTCGCGCTCGGTAATGTTCGACACGTATTCATGCGCTGCGTAAATATTGACGTGAGGCACTGAGCAAATATTGTCCCGAAGTGCCCGTCGTGGCGCAGGTTTTCTACGTAATTAAGTTTACAATGCCGTTGTTATGCGATGTGTTTACAAACAAGCACATAAGCACACAAACCCCCACGAGAGCTAACAATAGATCATTCTAAGCTTTTTCTATTGAAAAATTTCCATACTGAATCGAATGCTTGTTTTTTTCCAGTATAATATCAAGAAGAAGGAAGAAATACAAGAACAAGTTCAAGAGGAACCCAATCCGCTGATGCGGAAGAAGAAGACGCCGGAAGAACTGGCGGCGGAAGCCGAACTCGAGGAGGCGGACGACTTTACAAGTGAGTGTTTCAATAAGCTATTTAAGCGTAAGAAGTGCACAATTATGTAGACACTGAGACGAGCACGTAGCAGCAACTGAACAAAGTAAAAGAGCAAAAAGAAATGGATTCATCTTACACGTGTTTATCAACTTATATCAACTTATGGCAATACACAATAAGCGTACATCTAAATGTAGATTATTAATAAATTAAGACCACATTGACAATGTTAAACGTTAATGTTCACGTTTGTAGCTGTAATCGCAATTCATAAATATTTTATTGTTAGTGGTTAGCATCGAGTCTTTAATATTTTGATGGTTGATGGTTAAACGATTTGAACGTCGTAACATTGTTACAACTTTTTTGATAGATGTTTAAACTTGAACTACGATAGTTGGATCAGTGAAATCAAAGTTATACGTAGTTGCAAATGTCATTTGCGATATCTGAATGTGATTCTAGAGTAAAACGTACATCGACCAATTTTATATACCCTTTTACACCCGCACACGATGAACCAAATTAAAATGACAACACGTATCTAAAGCCGAAATCTCGACCAGAGTTAATATGTTAAATTTAAAAAAGTTTTTGACAGTTTGTGCCTTCGTTTTTTGGGCCTACAAACACCGATGACAATATTAAATGATACATTAATTTAAACAATGCAAAGCAAGTAAACAAAGAACATTAAATTAATCGTGTTGCCAAAAACAATTATATTTCTTACTTATATTTCTGATTTCCGAACAACTTTCGAAACTCTTTTGGTGTTCTTTTAATGTTTGTTGTTAAATGTTGGATAGATTAATTATTTCATTTTATGTTTATGTTTAGTTATAATTACTTATAAGTTTTATTTTAGTTTTTTTTTTTTTTTTGTACAATTTTTTGGTATGGGAAACACAATCTGTGAAACGTCTCAATTTCCACCGCAAAAAATCCAAACTTGAACGTAAAGACTTTTTTTTATAACCGGGAAGCATCCCTTAAAGTTGGTTTTCCAAGCAGCTGTGGTAAAACGCGACCAAACGACCTTAAAAGTATTTTTATCTAAATTCATCGTCCCACATAGAAAGTTTTCAGCGCCGGCCAACTTTTCAACCCCTAATCCGCACCACCAGCCACCACATATGTTCTCCTCACATGCCACCCACCCTCGTGCTAGTTTTGGCCGCCCTGGCGTTGCCAGTTGCCACTTTGAGCCCATTTATCTAGATAACTCTCCGGCGAGTAGCTGACACCTTTTTTAGGGACAATATTAAATTGCACTCGCATCGTGAAAATGCGAGAATGCCGGCAATCTCGCGGTGGCTGTGAAAATGTAAAGCATTCACAGATGTAGATAAAGTTTCTTTTGCGTCAGCGGCGCGACGTCGCGAAATGAATAGAATTTGAGAACGGCTGTCTTTTATTAAATCAAAATCAAATACACGGAATTTCGTTCGAATATCTTCACTTTGCAAACAAGTTGAATTCACAAGTTGAAGTTTTATTTGGATTTTCGGTGACGGCGGCAAAACTCCACATTGAATATATTCGACGTTTGGTATTAAATTTACACAAAATATTGGAAAATACAATTTTGAGACGTTTTGTCGAATAATAAATACACGTGCTCTCCCTTTGAACATTGAACTTGGATATTTTTGTTTGGTATTTATTTATGTTTATATTATTTTTAGTTTTGTATTTTTTAGAATAAATTTTTGACAATAAATAACATTCAACGAAATTTCAGCTTTAGATGTGTAGCGAATCTTAACCTAACTTTACTAATAACTTAACCTATAACAAAAATCTTATCGCTTGCCAATCGACTGAAATCTTATAACTTTTGATAGCGATTTTTGTCACCTGAGGAATTTTTCACAACTACTCCGTCTTGAAAGATGTATGTGTTGTGTTTTTGGTATGCGTGTGCTCTTGATGTGTTTGTTTCCTATATTTAAATGTGTTTTTTGTGTGGTGTTGTTTCAGAGCTGAAGAATACGATAGAAACACAAGTAAACGAAATCAAGACACAGATAGAGAGTAAATGCGTAATGCAATGAGCGCACTCGCGGACATCCACAATCCACAGTAAAATGCGGCAATAACTGCGCGGCCTCGACTAACAACCAACTACTCAACAACAACCACCAGTAACCAACTTTACTAACAACAGCTAATACCCATTTTTATTCACATAGAAGCATGCAAAACCAACAAACGAAAAAATTTAATAAAATTGTAACACACTCACCAAAAAACTCAAATGCCAAAGAAATCAGCGACAGATCGCTAAAGATGCGTCAAGGTACCAGACACATACGAAGAGGATGACACTAGTGACATGATTTTAGCGGTGAGATGAGCGGCTAGTTTCGAAGCAAACCTAACTAAACATATAGCATACCTGTGATCGATTCGATTTGTTATCATTTTAATATTTTTATAAAAATGTGAACACGGATAGTCGACGATTCTGTTTAAGAAGGTACTACTGAAACGCGTGCGCAGTGTCGATTCGTTTTCGAATGCAACCAATGTTTGTCCCTTGATGGATTGATGGTGAACCATGTCGCGCAGCAGACTGCCAAACAACAACAACAACAACCGCATTCAACATCAACAGCAATGCTGATTTCAACACACCTTTGATTCATTCATTTAAAGAGACTGCGATAAACAATTAACAAATATTCAAAGAAAAAGAGAATCATGAAAGGATACGAACACATGTAGCTTGTAAACAAATTGTTAAGCGTATTGACAAACCGATTGTTGTATATAACATTTAGTTATTTGGTTTTGTTTATACCAAGAGACCAGTATGAAATTGAACATGAGCGGAACGTAATAACGATGATGATGATGATGATGATGATGAAAATGTTACTTCACACTGTCGAACAGCCAGGACGAGAGTTTTTGTTGTCGGATGGAATGTTTAACACTTACTCACACAATACCTAACCTCACACTCGACACACACGATGATGCGCTAGCGCGCATGCGCTTCGCGTTCGATTCCTGAATGTTCGGTTCTCCTCGGTTTCGAAGTAAATGCCCGATAGTCATCCAAATTCCTATAACTAACTGTTAAACTAAACTGCCTTCGATGTTGAACTTAAATCTACACGTCTTCGGGCATGACGTCTTGGGCTCACTCAGTAACTCAAAGTTTCTACCCAAGACACCGCGCCCCCAGACGTGGTGCTCTCCTTTGCCGAAACCTGTATCGATGTTGTGCAATGGAAATTCTTGTCTACGTATCTCTGCACACAGGAAACAAACGACAGACGGATGTTATATATATATATTGTTTGTTGTTCATTGTCGTTCTCTTTAAACGTAACGAACATCTTTGCTGCAATACCAGAATCAGAACTATGTGTAAATGTGTCTTTACTGTTCTGTCTCTCTCTATCTCTACACTATCTTCTCGTGCGTCTTGCGAAAATTCGACGATCGACCAACAACGTAATTTAATAGGGAAAATACTAACGCGATAATAAACAAGTAAAAAGTAAAGTAAAGAACTATAACAATAAGCGACGTGTCGGATGGATCGTGGACTACTGCGGAAATGTAACTTAAAAAACAAAAATTTAATGAGTTTTATTTTCAAGCACTGTTTCCTTTCGTTTCAAAGCTTTTTACAATGCACAGCAATTTTCACATGCACTAAAATTAAGTTTAATCTCGATTCTCTCTTGAATCCCTTCTAGGATATTATTATTTTAGGTTAGGTTTTCTTAACCTAATCACTATCTCCGCTTTTACGGATTATTACGTTTGCAAACTTAAAAATTTTATTGATTTCATCTATCTCTACGAAACTTATATCTATCTATAATATGTGTGTCAATTAAAAGAATAATAATGAGACAAATTAAGAGATTAACCTATTTAAAGAAAAGCGAATGTAAATTTAACACGTTATCAGAAACCATAGCTAAAATCTTATAACCTTAAATACCAAACAAAACCAACTCAACTTAACCTTGCCTCTAAACCAACAACATCTGAAACTGAAGCAAAACGAAACGAAAACAAAATGCAAACAAATGCAACGCATATATCATTATCTCTCTCTCTATTTCTATTAGCGTATGTATAGTATGTATATCTATGTCTTTGTCTATCTAAACGAGAAAAAATGTAGCTAGATGGAAAGTATAAGTAGTGTCGATGTATTTTAAAACGTGAAACACTAATTATCTATTTATCTCTTATATCGGTGTCGTTGCTCATCACGTAACCTATTACGTAACGTATTATTGTACAGCAGGAGTCTTTTTGGCAAAAACGCAAAACATAACCAAACTCAAAACACACACTCGATGCGTTCTTTGAAGAAAAAATAGATGTAAATTATTCACATTAACAAAACAAGCAAACTTGGAATTAACATGGAATTTGGGTGATGAGAAAACAAATGTTTAATACAAAACAACAACTACAACAACAAGAACATCAACAACTGTAAAAACAAATCAACACACAACAAGCTGAAACGTTTCGATTATGACACGCGCGCGATTTTAATTTCGGTTTTGATTTGCCACGTTCTCATTAACAAACAAAAACCAAAAATACAAAACATTTACGATTGCCGAACGTGCAATGCAAGTGCAAGTAACAATGCAAACAATGATGTAAACACGAATATTACCTACTAGGATAAGCACCAAAAACAAATATAATATTATTCAACGGCCGGTTTCCGTGCAATGCGTCATTTGTAAAGTAATGGCGGGTGGCACGGGACGGCATATTTTTATTGTTATCACCTCAATGTGGAGAAAATAATAAGCAATGTAGTCTTATAGTGTGTGATACTTATTATAATTATTATGAGAAACCAAAACAAAACGATCGAAACGAACAAAATTTTAAGCAACTTTGAGAATGTTATGTTAACTAATTGTTGTTGATTTTGGGAATGTATGTATTTCGAATATTTATCAATTTGTGTAATCGTTTCGATTTGAATTTGAATTTCCAATCGTGCAAATAACTGCAACGGAGACAACGACACTATATAAACATAATTTAGTCTACTACATCCTATTAAAAAACACACATGAGAAATCTTATGCGACAATGCGTGTATTATATAGAACATTCCGTAATGAAATCATTCCTCCTTGTATTATGTGTGTGTATAACGCAGAGTGCGAATGAGCTTTGAGAAATGACGTACGTAACGATGCAAATTCGGCCTTAGATCATCGCAAAATTCAACCGAAACGTAAATTTCAAAAACTAACACACAAAATAAAGTAATGGATGCTTCTGCTTTCGTATCTACACAATGCGCTGCTGTGAGACGTACTGGATGACGATGGAATGAGCTTGTGATAGGAGAAAAAATTAAAACCACTTTGATTTGCGTAAAGCGCGTGGAAAACCAGACGAGCGAAAAACGAGAGAGTTGTGGGATCGGTGAGTGTACCCCACAGAGTAAGAAACGAAATGATTGAAGTACTACCCATCGTTATAAAAATTAAGCAACCAAAAAACATGAAAATGAATAATGTTGTATTGTTAAAACAATTGATAATCGCAGTATATATGATATACACATACAATATATGCGTAAGGTATATTGTATTGTAGATATTGTTGTTAATTCAGGAATAAAAAAAATGTTTAGTTCTGTTCGGTCGTCGTTTCGCTATGGCTCTCAATAGCAACACAAAATCTACCAAGTGAAATAACTAAATAAATATGTATTTGTACTAAACACTCACTCAAAACTATCTGGAAACAAGCAGCAAATGAAATGAAATTTTTGTAAAAATGTTAGAGAGGCGAAGGACGACCGAATGTAGGCAGCCTTTTGTATTTATACACTTATTATTACCAGTAAATGAAAATGATGACAAAAAAAGAAAAAAACTTGTTTCATTGACGCAGTGAGACAAACATGTTGTAGTTTGCCAGAGTACCTCTAGTTATAGTTACGGCTGTTCACGTTGTTATATAATAAATAAGTATAAGCTAAATGACAAACATGATGATGATGAATATGATACCGAACAAAAGCAAACCAAACCAAAAAATGAAGGATACTGGTAAATGACATATGAAAATAACACAGAATAATAATTACGAGGATGGTAATAGTTGATACAGAACACAAACATGTACCACGATATTTGCTAGCGTTTATTTAGCGAATAAAACTTGTTGTTAGTTGTGTGACACCTAAGACAACGCTAAATGATATTATGACACAATGCGGAAACATGAGAGATAATAAAGAAGATTACAGTTTCAAAAATGCGTGTAATTTATTTCTTGTTGATTATATAATAATTTATTGTGGTCCTGCGTTTGTTTTCCAATCAGGTTTATCTGAATTTATGCAAGCGTTGTTTTGGAGCCTAATAGTGCGAGGGTTTTCGATGGTTAATCTCCAATACAAAAGATCCTCGTCTCTCGCCTCCATTAATCCTTCGCTAAGCCGCGCGCTGGTCACCGTTTTATCGACAATAAATCAGAGCATTAGGGTTACGGATCGTAATGCATCGCACGTAACAATGAAGAACCGCGCTAAGTGAAACCCGCTTTATGCCATTTTTATTGGTATTTGTTGTGCGTCTTAGAGGCTAAGTGGATTGTCACATATTTATTCTCCTGAATATAGCATAATATCGACCGTGCAAATAAAACGTCGTAAAAATAATATATCTAAACATAGAAAAAGATTCAATTGTATAAACCGGACGTGATTATTCCACAGCGCTGAAGATGGAGTCCATTTTCTTGTGGAGTTTTTTCATGAATGTACTGAAACTATTCACTATCTTTGTCACGAAGCCCAAATTGTACTTATAATCACTTGTTTCCTGCTCTTGCTCCTGCTTCGATTTCTTGGACTTGAGAGGGATCTTCTGCACGTACTCGCTGCGATTCACGCGTTTCTCGCCAACGTCTTGCACATCATCTGTCTTCTTGGGGGTAATCTTGCTATTGCCATCGTTAGTGGAAGCGTCATGCTTGGCATGCTCGAACGCATTCTTTAGTGTCTCCTCTGGGTAGAGATCGGTTGCCGGGCACGTGCTATCATCGACCTGATTATCTTTGTTTTCGAGTTGTTCCGTCTGTACACTCATTCGCGCTGCGTCACGATGCAGCACGAGCTCAGTGTCGCCGTTCGCCTCATGCATGAGTGATAGTTTCTCGCGCGTTGGCAAAACGATCGTGTACTCGCCTTCCTTATCAAGTAGTGGTTTGATGAATTTCGTATCCGTTTCGATGGTGTTGAAGAAGCCGTCGATGGCGTTCTCGACGGAGTCGATCTCGCCGGCAACGCGACGCGCTTTACGGATATTGATTCGCTCGGCGTTTTCTAAACCAAACGAGGAGCGACTTCGTGGGATGTCCTTGAATGAGATCTGATTGTCGTGTTCGTCGACCTGGTATGTAGAGTGCAACTGTGGTAATTTCAGCATATCTTCCGGGCGCCAGTCGTCCAAAGTCATCTTTGGTTGGTATTCTTTTATAATCTTATTAGGTTGGTGTGGGGTTTCATCTATTTGATCTTTGGTTTCCCTCGGACGTCTGAAGATATTGAGGGATTGTTCCGTAGAAAACTACGTCCGTTATTAGGCTGCCTCATTCGATGGATAAAGTCTCGTATTCCACGTTTGAAACGTCCGAAATTTTCGAATGAATCGAATGCTGGTTCGAAGTATTCATTTGTTCTTAGGTTTGGGTTGTGGTTGAAGTAGTTTTCCAATCGTTCGATTGCACCAGAGACATCATCCTAAAAAAATAATCTATCGTTATTATTTTGTTTTTGTTTATATTAAAATAACATACATCATGAATAACAAACTCTGTGTCATCGAAATCCCAACCGGATCTTAGCTTCTTATTCTCTTCTGATTTTTTGGGATGTACACTAATAGAATCTCCGAAATGGTCAAAAAATGACCCACCGTTCAAATCATCTTCTAGTACATGAAACTGCCGTTCAAAATCATGTTTATCATAAAGATCCGGTTTCTTTATAAATTCAGTTTTGCGTTCTTTATTTGTAGAAGTTGTGGATTGTTCTGTTGTTGCTTTACTTCCCAACAACGATAGCAATGACTGCAAGTCCAGTTTTTCCATACCACCAAACAAATCCAGTTTTGGTAATGCTTTATTGCCAAAAATTGATGTTTCGGAAATGGATGATGATTTTGCTTTGGGTTTCTCAAATCCAGGTATAATTTTGGTCATATCTGGAAGTCCTTCAATTTCTGTAGATTCTGCGGCAGTATCTGGTTTCTTCTTTTTCTTTATTAATGACGGCAATAACGATTTATGTTCTTTCAGTTCTTGGTCGTGCACTTTTTCGTCTAATAATCGCATGTTGATATCACGCCTAAACTTGCCTTTTAACGCCTTTTCCAGCATACCATCTAAATCAAACTCAAACTCAGTGAAACCCATTTTTTTCTCTAGTTTGGCTTTAGCTCTATCGCCTAGAATCTTGAAAACTTCTGCACTGTTCAAGTTTAGATCTAAATCAGTCGGTTTCGAATGTGTTTTCAATTCCGAGTTTGGTTTTAAAGCACTCCCGAGAATATCATCCTTTCTTTCGTTGTCTTTTTTAAGCAAGTTTTTGAAATCGAGATTTTTCACAGGTTTTACATCAGATTTAGTTTTATCTAGCAAGAAGTTAAAATGTTTAATTCCATGCATTCCTGGCATTGGTGTTATACTATTTGGTTCTATCTTCTGGGCGATTTTCCCCGACAACTGCTTCCAGTCTTCTGTGGGTAAGTGTGATTTGAGTTTTAATTTCGGAACCAATGACGCGTCGGTCTTAAACTCTTCCTGCAGCTTGCGATGTAAGTCAGCGAGCGAAACGGAAACGCGCGGCGCATTCAATCTGCTTAGCAATCCTTCGGCGGATTTTCCGCTGTCGGTAAAATCTACTGCTTGGATACGATCAATTTCCTCTAGGATCATGGCGGTGTCGTCTTCGTTGTCGATGCAAATTGGAATTTTTGCGCCAGGAAGCACGAAGAACGAAATCGACTTGGCGGGTGCGGTGAGTATCAAATGAGTCAAAACCTTTGCGCGTCGCAGTTTCGGAAGCAGTTTGAAGTTATCCAAGGAAAGTTTTTCGTTGTTTAAGTAAGTGTCCCTATTAAATACATTTAAAATAATCAAAACACATCATTATAAAACTTAACTCAACATACGTGGTATTTTCTGATGATGTTAGTGTATAGGACCTCACTTCGACGCTTTTAAGTTGCGTTGGAATGCGAAAAGCAGCTTTGTGAGCTTCAGTTCCATTGTTAACTATCATAATGGTAAGTGCACCACGAACAGAGAAACTGTTTTGATCTCTAGCACAATGTGCGTAGATCCTAGCGGTGGATTGAGTCAGCGATGTTGATTTAACATCCAAAACATTACGACCCATTAAGGATTTGTGAAGAACTGTCACCCAGTAAGCCTAGAACGAGTTATAAACAAAGATGGTGTTTGAGAATGACATGGCGACTACTTACTGGTGTAGCTGAATAATACTCCTGCAGGCGTGGTTCTCGGAAAATAACAGAAAAACCTTTTCGGGCAGCTTCACCAATTTCTACAGCCCAGTTGATGCCATCTTCGAACCCAATGGGATGTTGACTTTTAGAAGTGGACAAACATATTGGGACAGTAGCCTGATGAAAACCTAACATGGTTTCCATAACTCCTCCGCTCAGAAAGTTGGATATAATACTTTCATCTCTAAAAAGGTAAAATGATCTGTAGTGCTATATTCAAGGATTTTAAAATTTTGCTTACTCTTCCCAGACGATGGTATCGGCGTCGTCCAAGTCGGCCAAGTACATCCGGAGAATCTCCGGGTGATCCGATGGAGTGCACTTACTCAAATCGCTTCCAACTATCTGCCACTTATCCTTTTTCGCTGGGAAAGCATCTAAAATCTTTCGGAAAGTCTTTAAATCCTCTTTGTATCTCTCAAATCCCTTTTGACTACAATCTGCAACATTCACAAAATAACATTTGCAATATGCAGGCGTTAGTTGATTGAGATTGAATTACCAAATCCTATCTGCCACCAACAATTAATGTTCATCCTGGCAGTCATGTCCAAAAGTGGTAAAACCCGCTTCGGGTCCCATTTTTCGCCGGAGCTGTACGCGTCATCGTTGATGCCGAAAATCGGCGTGAAATTAGTTTTCTGCATCCACTCATTCAGCGACCACCACATCGCCGGGCTGAACGTGAGCGTGGTAGAGTCATCGCTAATTATCTTCGTCGCTTTGCGCTCGTCGGCGCTGAACTCCAAAAACTGCGTGGACGAGCCGGCCACGCGCAGATATGCCGGCGACAGATGCGTAATTAATTTGAAGAGGATATCCCTGCTCGGTACACACACACGTGGGGACAATGTCCGAAGCGAATAATATGATCGGATTAAGCTTACCTGTGTGGCAGGCGGGAGAAGAACACGGCTGGGTCCACGGAAAAACTGATAAACTTCTCATTGACGTATTGGATGGCTTTGTTGTTGTTAATTGAAAATTGGCTCTCCTCTGATGAGATCAGCATCGGCGAATATGCGACGAGGAGGAATATGCACAGTTTTAGATGCATAATTAACGCATTTAGGGAGTGTTAATAATGATTTGAACGACGATGCCATCAAATGCCAACACACGCGACGAAATTTGTTTAGATTGTAAGAAATAATATTAGGCGCATGTCAGCAATTTATGTGGTGAATTTATAATTTGCATAGCATTGAAATATTTACTGCTTCAACGCAAAGACAGTGTGCTAGATTTGGAAATGTTTGTAATCAGCAGAAATAAACAAATTTTAAACAGAATTATTTCATTTGAATCAATACTACAACATAAGTTATGAGCAACTGTAGCATTTTAAACAAAAGATCATAATCCAGATTGAAATATCCATCTGCTGTTAAAACTGGACGTAGAATTTCTGTTTGTTTTATAAAGTCGTGCCACTGAGATATTTCTACCTCGTTTGACATGTTGGGCATTACTTCGTAAGCCAATTGCGTTGTATTTTTGTTTTCATTCGCTATTTCTTGAGATAATTTGATTATATATATAACTTGACACTAAAATAATGAGTAGTTGTTGAAACATTTTAAATTTCAATTATAAATTCAACTTACCAGCATGTAAAGACAATGGAAAAGAGCAATCAAATAAAGATATTTAAAAACTTGTATGTATAGCTTTAAAATGAGCAACAATTGTAGCAGTGAGTTGATAGTTAATACGAAAATGTTGAAACCAAATATTTCATTAATGGAATATGTAACTTTAGAATTTAACAATATCATTTTAGTACACGTTTCTATGTTTTGACCAAAATTTATATTTTGTATTGTTTTAACTTTAACTGCATAAATATTGTTGAAAATAGATTTAATAAAGTAGTTCCGATTCTTTGTTTGATTTCTTACTGTTTCAAGAAAGCTCCATATTGTCGACATCATACATGCAAAATACATGAACATAATGTCTTCTATAATACTTGTTACAGTAGGTAATCTACCCAGAATCCAGTGTAATGCAACTGAACTGCACATATATGATCCATAAAATAATATTGCTTGCAATGTTGTGTATTTCTTCACATATTGTCGACAATGCACTGGCAGTAATGCATCAAATTCTTTAAAATGCTTCCGCATATCCTGCAGTTTCTTAGATTTTAGCCACAAGTTTTGCAGCAGGGTGTTGAATGCAACAATTATTATTAACACAGTCGCAGACGTGTTGAATAGTAAAATTAGATTTTGATATACATTCATAACCAAATATGTTGTATACAATACGTATATTAAGACGTATAGACTTGAAACAATCGTAAATGTTGTATGTAGAATGTGCCATTTTCTGTACTTGTTGTAAAATTCACATGGCAGTATGTCAAGAACCTCGGCAATTTTCAGAAACGTATTGGTCATTGTATGCGAGTAAGAGTAATGCAGAAATGATATGAATTTAGGTAGATATTGTTGAAAATTTTCATTAGTTAATTAGACAATATTATTGATTTCCTGACAATACATAAAAATAATGACCGACATTGACATTAAGAGTAAATTGAAATTACTTATAATTACCGATTTTTTCTTCACTTTATACCCACAAAAAATGCCATAAAGTGCCTGAATAAAGTAATATTTTTCTTATTACTTTCCTTCTGTATTTAACCGAGAATCCTATTGACACATATTTAGAAATGATAAATAGTTATCTATAAAGGGTAATTACTACTCTATCAGTCTAATAACAAAATGTTATTAAGATAAAGTATTCAAAATCATGTTTACACTTTTCCTCCTTTTAGATCCGAAATTAGAATTGAAAAATTCCAATTATAATAAAACCTGCATTTGCAAACAAACATTGTAAACAAGTAACTTTTTCGCGCCGATTTTTTAATAATTTAATATTTATTCCAAACATGTGGGGCGTTCATTTCCAACTCATTTGTTTGCTTATTGTTTATAAGAATTTAAACCGCGTAAGAAATTCATTCCTGAGTGTACAGATTAAATAATCAGTTGAAATATTACACCCGCGCAAATACGAAAGGAATTAAAATAACTTTATACAGTGTACTTGAGAACACTTAAATGTATCTAGCGCCGTCAATACGCCATGAATATCAAACATGATTACGTTAAGATGGAACTACATAGGTAATTTTCTCATGTTTCAAAATGTATATGAAATTTGATTGCACTTGGTAACCATTTCACGTTCCCACGACTCTGTATAAAGTCCTAACAAAACATCAGCTGGCGCAGCGGCGGGGAACCGCGATTATGTTTAGTTGTGGTGAGGTTCGTGAGCCTCACTTGAGCTCAATATCTCGGCGCCTGTGGCTGTCGGTGTTTTTCATTTGTTTACATATTTTATTTTAAACCGCTATCACCTTGTCAGTTTTAGATAACAGTCGAATAAATACATCTGAGTGCCTTTACAGCATTAAACTCTAGTTAAACTTTGTTTCGAGCTACACAATGCCCAACAAGGTATAGTCAGGTTTGCTTCTTGGAGATATAACTATTTACATATACTTTAATTTCAGAGTGAAGTTCTTCTAAAGACTTACAAATGTCTTGCTCAAGTTCCTGCCTTAGTAAAAGCTAGATATCTCAATGAGAAGATTATAAATACCACATGGTCTGAAAGAAATCTTGAACAAGGAAGAAGCATCAAGTTTCAAACAACTTATGTGTCTGGTGACACTAAAAAAATGGACTTCGTTACCTCCTATAGACACAACTAATCAGTAAGTCCTGTAAAAATATTGTAACAATTATGCATTACTAGAATTTGTTTAGATCCATGCATGCTGTGTCTCCATGCAAAAAATTCCAAGCTGTTTTGAGAGATGTTGAACAAAAAGATCAAAAAGAATCAGCTCAATATCTTGAAATCTGGAATGAAACATCTCTGATTCGATCAGTTGACTTAACTGCTTTGGATTTACATGCCAAAGTTTACACAGATGGTAATATAATTACCTCTAAACCAAGAATATTTTATTTTCATTGATGTTTTAGATGAATTTGGAAGTTTTAAGTGGTCACCAGTTGGTGGTAAGATTTTATATGTTGCTGAGAAAAGAGTGCCAAAGATTGATCCATTACACAAACGCCTGAAGCCCAAAAAAGACTCTGACACCACTGATAAAGATGATGTTGAAAAGGACGTAATTGAGGTGAGATAAAATCACGTCATTCCAAACGGTTTTTATTTATGTTATAATTTAGATTGAAACCTACAGACAAGACTGGGGTGAAGCTCTTGTCGATAAAATCTCGTCGATTGTTGTTGTTTATGATGTGGAAACAGACGAATTCACGATTCCTGAAGGAATACCTGATAATGTTTGCGTTGCGAAGCCATTTTGGACTGCTGATGGTACACAAATCATTGGGATTTGTCTGCATACCGAACCACGCAAATTGGGGTTGATTTATTGTGGAAATAGGCCTAGTGGCTTGTTTACATTGACCCTGAATAATACATACAGTAATTATTTTCATTCATTGTAAATATTTCTTAGTAAAAATTTGTATTATGCAGAGGAGTTTGGTAAATTGATGAACAAAACTGTCAAGGGACCGAGGTTGACACCAAATGGCGAGCATATCATCTGGTTGCAATGTGATGCTGGTGGTCCACATATCAACTGCATGCAATTGTATAAAGCAAAATTACCATTAACTGATGAAGTAAAATTTATTTTTTACTGTCAACAATTTGTATTTATCGAGTGAATTCGTAGACTGAACCTCAACTTATTCTTGATTCTGTCGATGTGGCCAAAGAGATTAGTGGTGGAAGATTGTTTTATGGATTATTTAGCACCTCAATACCTGAAAGATGTTGGTCCAATGATGGCAGATTGTTATTTTCTACATTTAGAAAGAACGCTATTACTGCTTATGTTCTTGACTTAGGTAACTTATAAAAACAGCAATTTAAATGTATATATTGAGAATAATATTACTTTATTCAAATTAGATTCTGGGAAGTTGTCCGAGTTTGAGTGTGAAGATGGCAGCCAAATTGTTTTGGACGTTTTTGACGATAATGTTCTCATCAACCGCAGGAATTTCTTTCAACAGGATGTTTTACTTAAAGGAGTGTTGCCATCATCTGGGCAGGAAAAAACTATGAGTTTAGAACAAATATCAATCACCAACGTCCCTGACTCATTAAAGGATAAGAAATTTGAGTATATGGATTTATCATATGCGAACAACGACGAAGTTGGTTAGTTTTTGTTGTCCTGCCTTTATCAATAGGCCAATAATTATTTATTATTAATTATTTAATTGCAGATAACTTTACTGCAATATATATTGGACCAAAATCTGCTGAAGATGCTAGTATTCCATTGGTTATATTCCCTCATGGTGGTCCACACAGCGCGTCAGTCAATGCCTTAACTTTAGAAAATGCTTTTCTTTTATCAATCGGTAAGATAACAAATGAAACAAACGTAACATATTATTTTTTATATTATGACTTATTTAGGATATGCCGTTGTATTTGTTAACTATCGTGGATCAATCGGCGCTGGTCAAAAATCTCTAGCTTTTCTTCCCGGGGAAATGCGGCGAAACTGACGTTGCTGATTGCGTCCTAGCCACAAACACCGCCCTGAAAACCTTCCCATGGTTAAACTCCAAACGTATATCCTTAGTGGGCGGTTCTCATGGTGGATTTTTGGTCACTCACTTAAGTGGACAATATCCAGACATGTGGCGCGCTGTGGTCGCACGGAATCCCGTCACGGATATTTCTACCATGTCGGGGGCTAGCGATATTCCCGATTGGTGTTATGTGGAGGCTGGGTTTGAATATTCCCAGGTCGGTCCAATTAGAGACGATATTCTATTGGCTATGCGAGCCAAGTCGCCAATTGTGCATGCACATAAGGTTAAAGCACCCACTTTACTGCAAATTGGTACGAAGGATCTCAGGGTGCCGCCATTCCAAGGAATGGATTACTTTCATCGCTTGAAAGCCAATAATATCACTGCTAGGTAAGAATAATAGATCAATACAAAATGACGGATGATAAAAATTTTATTTTTATCAGTATGAACATTTACACGGATAACCATCCTTTGGGTCTGGTCCCCAACGAGATCGGCCATATTTTATCTACTGCCACATGGCTCAACGAACACAACGAATGAGCGCATTTAAAAATGCATTTCCCGAGGTGAACATTCAAAATCAATACTTTTATACTTGCGTACCCACAGTACCTAGATTATTCACCTGTGGTCATAGCTATATATATCTACAATATAAATATAAGTTCAAGTAAGTATAAGAAGTTGAGGCAAAAAAGTGTCTCGACGTCTTTCCACAACGCTCAATTGTTTGATATCCTGTCTGTTAACCGTCTATTTTTGTGCGGGGTAGGATAGCGCATGCGTTGCACACCGCCGGGTGCTAAAAACCGATATATTACGAAGGGTGAGTTGGGGTTGTTTTTGTTTGTGTGCGCGTAGTATTCGCGCCGCCCAGACGACCGAACCGACATCGGCCATCGACATGCAAATGTAAAATTGGCGTCGTAATCATCCGAATAGAAAGTGAGAAGAACGGTTTCGTGAAGAGTGAACGCTCCTCACGTAATTTTATGTGTGAGAGTTGTTTTGTTGGCCGATCGTCGTCTGTCGTCTGTGGCACGAACTGCACTGCGCGTCTCGTCTATTAATAGTTTAATTCATTCAACTCGCAAACGCCGGACGTGCATAATAAGAGTTGAAGAGTTCAATTGAGAGAGGAAAAATGAAGTGAACCAGTGAGAAATATGAATAACTACATGCATCGTCTACTACTCACCCTCTGGAGGAAGAAATCATCTGTCCTGGCAGCATCTCTACTAGTGATAACACTACTATTGGGTTTGCAATATTCGTATAGAGTCCAACGACAAACTCGTGACGCTTTGGAAGCCACAAAATCTTCGGGGTCCTCTGGGGAAGTAAAACGTGAAGCTTTAGATGGGTCCAATCTGCGGGTCAAGGATGGGAAGTTCAAGGATCACGACGCGGATAGAGATCGGGAGAGTGAACGCCAGTTGGGTGTACCATACGTTAACTTAGACCCACACAATCCATATATTCCTAAATCAAGACTAGTTCACTTTGATCTGAAAGGTGCTCCGCCCAGAATTGGTTACCTTAAGAAGGTCTTAAGTTTGGTTAAGAACTTAGGTGCTACTGGAATACTTCTAGGTAAGTATTTTACTTTAATTTGATTTTTATTAATAAAATTATTTTAATTGTAGAATATGAAGATATGTTTCCATTCCAAGGACCTCTCAAACATATAGCTGCAAAAAATGCGTATACACGTGCGGAAATCAAAGATTTTCTGGAACATACCACCGCATTAAAGCTGGATGTTATCCCATTGGTGCAGACATTCGGCCATGTTGAATTTGCCTTAAAACATAAGGAGTTTGCTAATATCAGAGAAGTTGCTAATAGTCCACAGTCACTGTGTCCCAGTAGAAATGGCTCGATGGACTTCATATCAGAAGTTGTCAATCAGGTACTTGATTTGCACCCAACTTCAAAATACTTACACATCGGCTGCGATGAAGTTTACCAGATGGGCGAGTGTGAACTCTGCCGTTTGGAACTTCACGATACTCTATTCCTGCGTCATATTCAAAACGTAGCTAATTTAGTCCACGAGCGACATCCTTCGATTCGATTGATTATCTGGGATGATATGTTGCGCCATCTTAGTACCCAGAGTATGCTTGATATACAACTCGGTCTTTTAGTGGAACCAATGATATGGGTTTATGCTGAAGATATCTATCGATTTGTACAACCGCAAATCTGGGAAAAGTATTCGGCGGTATTTTCTACGGCTTGGACTGCATCTGCGTTTAAAGGCGCTTTTGGAGAGACGCTTTATGTGCCAGATGCGCGTCGCCATCTTGAAAATAATCTCCGCTGGCTAGACGTAATGTCCCAGCAAGGCAGATACTTTAAAAACGGCTTTCAAGGAGTTGTCCTCACTGGCTGGCAGCGCTATGATCATTTCGCTGTTTTATGCGAATTGCTACCAGCGGCAATTCCGAGTCTAGCGTTATCGTTATTAGCCGTATCAAATGGTTATTTCAATGCGTCTCATAAAGCTGCACTGATGTCAGCGTTATCTTGTCCACAATATGGCCGCAATACACCGTTTATTAACCTTGACATCGACCCACATCTATGGGACAAACTGGGAAGGTGCATGTTTCCCGGCAGTCCGTTCTTCCGCGTTACATATCGCCTATACTCAACCGAGAACGAAGTCAATGATTATATCAGATCTACGACAAAGAATAAAGGCTGGATGACAGATTACAATGTTCGTCGCAACTATAGTTTACCTTTGAGAGTTGAAGAATTAACCGCTGATTTGCCACGAATGCATCATGGAGCTATTTCAGTTGCAAGATCAGCAATAGATTCAATGCAGAACATATTCGATAACTTTACTATCATGGAATGGGTCGAGCAGAGGGTGTATCCGATGATTATCGAGTTAGAGAAAATACAAAATCAAAGCTTAGCTCTAAAGAGTCAGAAGTACTGGGCAGCGCGCCGCTCAAACCACTTATGGACCTCGAACGGCTTGGTATAACATAAACTCCAACCATCAATTTTAGCACTAGTCACATCATTATTAACTCTAGTCATATTTATATCAACATTCAACTAAACTGTTTTAGGCTATGAAAATCTTTACATCATATTAAGCAATGTTTTTATACAAAATTTCAGGGGTGTCTCTACTTTTAGATGTTATTCCTTTATATGAAACTTTGTTGGTAAATAAATTTTGTTTTCGAAAATCCCAGCACATAACCTTCAACCATCCTTAATAACATAACCAAACTTACAGTTTAATTTTAGCCATAACTAATTCAATTAAAAGTATTATAAGTGATAATATTACACCGCCTGCAAATAGTGTTAGGGCAAAATAACAGTCGAGGATTCCAACACTGTCAAAGTTGCGGTCTAATGTCCAGCATCTAGGCTTAGGTGTATGCAGCAAGGTAGATTCACGATGATGGATGCCACGTTCTCTTAATATGAGGAAACCAATTTTAAACATTTCAAATAATGGCGAATTCTTTTTGATTGCAAAGTACAAATCGGTTGGAAACTGTAGAAATTGGATTTCTTCTAGGTTACATTTTTCAACTTCTTCAAATGTTTCTTCTAGACATAAAAAATCAGTATTAACATGATTAAAATTTCAATTACGTTTTTAGGTTTTATTTTTATACCTATTAAGGTGTATCCTATGTGTGTTTCAATATGAAAAGCAAACAATTCTGTTTGTACTCTTTTTATTCCGTCATTTCTTGAGATAAATTTCGAAAAGTCAAAATTGTTCATCTTATTAATGCCTGATTTTTCGAGAATTTGTAGTCTCTCATCGCCAATTATATTCTACAAATATGACAAAATGGCAAACCATAGAAAGAAGGAAACAAACAAATACTTACAGGAATAATTCGTCGCATGAAACTGCTGTCATGGAAGCCAACATGCAAAGGACTCTTCAATAAATCTTCAATACTCTGGATTTCGGAACTTGTTGCTTGCAATAAAGCAAAAATACTTGCTGAATACGCTGCATAGAGAAACATAAACGCAAGAAACAGAAACCACGTCACTGTTTTCCCATGCATACCAATGGGTTCCTTTTCGGGTCCTTGTTGACTAATGGCACTGATTGCCAGGAAAGCAACTTCCAATATAGAATGTGGAATTTCCGCCATATTTCTTTCTGTGCCATCATTGTTACCAACATTTTTGAATAATTGATCATGGGAATCATATTTATGCCCTTGCCACTTGGTAAGTACATACAAAAACAATATTATAAGTCCAATAAGTCCGAGAGCCGCCAACCAAACTCCTCTTGTAAATGGCAATGTATAAACATTTGTAATAACCGTTAACTTTGGTCTCTCAAAAATGAATTTTGTTTTCACTACAGATGATAAACCAGGAAAATCGAGATCTTTTATATTTTCAGGTGTTATTAATACTGGTAACAAAGAAATATCAATTGAATCAGTAAGTAGGCTGCTTAACACACAACTTTCCAAGATGGCGGCTTTATCATTTGGATATTTAATGTTTATGACCTCATTTGTAGTATTTGTGTTGTAATCATTTTAAAGTCATCAGTATAATGACAATAATCATATTTGTAGTTAAGTTTTAGATTAAACATCAATTTAAAGCAATCCATAAGTGGATAGTTAAGTTTCACTTCGTTATCTATTAGTTTATGCCTAAAATTATAGCTTATACATAATATAATAATGCACAAATTTAATATAGATACCTCTTATCGATGAGATGATGTCGGGTACTTTGTTCCGAGAGAGGTACTTGTACTATCAAAGATACTCCAATTGCTTTGAAGTTATAAGAGCCATTGGTTTGCGTTTTACTTGTGGTTATGTTTTCAACGCTTAGATTTTGGTCAAAATCTTGGTTATCTATGAAACTTAATTTTGCATTTTCAAAATTACTTCTAAAATTGTTTAAACTAAAAACATATTGCAGAACTAAAACTAATAACAGAAAAACGTTTGTTCTCAATGAGTTCATGATTCATACTAACCCATATCTTTGATTTTGACATTCTACATAATGATATAATATCCATCTGTGCAAATGTGTAAACTGCGGTTATGTCATGTTCAATTTTGGGTTTTTATTAATATCTCTGTGTTATCATCAAAAATTATCCTAAACTTAGCATTTCTTTGTGTAATCAAATATTCCTTTTATTACCCGCCATTTTGATATTGGTTTAGTGGGTTAATACCTACCACTGAATACTTTTGATCATGATCAATCAAAACGTGCATTATTTACGAAAAATGCCCACAAAAACAACTTGATAAAGCCACAAGAGTGTAATTGATTGAATATAATCGATCTAGTTTCCCGCTTTCGTGAATAAATAACCCTCACACACGACACACACACACATTGAGGTTGGGTTTACGTGGTATTTGCGGTTTTAAGTGGGTATTTGTTGCTTGAATCGCGGAAAAGCAAATCTATAACCGCAGCGAGCAAATTGATGCGCAAACAGTTCCAGAATGAAAATGCCGAAGGCGATTATAATGCCAACGACAAAGACCAACGCAGCAGGATAACAATCCACGATGGCGACACCCATAAACGAACTACCACGGGACATACATATTGGTCGTTTGGTGTAGAGCAATGAGACCTCACGGTTTTGAATACCACTTTCATGCATTTTCCTTAAACTAAAACAAAAAATAATGGATTATTACTAAAAATACATTTAATACTTGCCCAATCTTAATAATTTCCTTAAAAGACGTGTTTTTCTGAACGGCCAAGAAAGGATCAGGCACCTGCAGGAACTGTATCTCTTTCAAACCACACTTTTCATCTTCCAAAAAGTTTCGCCCACTATTTTATACCCGGCTCCTGTTTCCATATGAAAAGCAAACAATCCTTCTCTCAATCTGCGAACTCCTTCTTCAATTGGGAAAAATCTTGGTTTCTGACCAGGTGGTACCACTTTCTGGCGATATATTGCTCTTCTTACAGGTTCAGAAGCATTCTATTTAGATTACAATTAAAACTGCACTAATGAAATTAATTTTAAAAAAGGGAATCAATGATTTACCGGAAAATAAAATTGGTTGAATACAGTGTCATCAACTCCAACCTGCAGACGACTTTTAAGCAAATCCTCTAAGGTTTGAATTGATGTAGACGACGATTGTAAGAGGGCAACAATATTAGCAGAATATGAAGTATACAGAAACATTAAAGACGTGTACATTAAAATGGTAATAATGCGTCCGGTTATGCTGAAGGGAATTGCACTTGCACCTTGTTGACAAACTGCAGCAAAAGCTACGAAAGCAACGTCCACAGGATCATCTTGGAGTTCATCTGTGTTTGAGACATTTGTATATGCAACCTAAACATCATAAAATTAAAATTTACTGTAACTCTCAAACAATTTGACATAAAGAAGCCATTTTTGTTTTTCCAGGTAGATATTAACAAATATTACAAAATGGCCACCGGATATTTACAGTTTTTTCATTATTTGTTAAGAAAAACTTAATTTAAGTAAACTTACGTATTTTCTGCGTTTGTACCATTCCCACTTAACTCCCACATACAACCCGGCTGCTGTAATCACCACACTTGCCATACTAGCCAACCACACCCCCGTGTTAAACGGCAAAGTGTAAACATTGGTGATATACGAAAGTTTCGGCTGTCGAAAGACAAACTTTGACTTTGTAGGCGTCGTCATTGCTATGTAATCAATGATAGGCACTCTATCACTAGTGAAAAACAGCGGCGTACCTAAATTTAATAAAAATAACACTAAACAATTTCTATAAACACTTATAATTGTTTATACCTCCAATATCCGCATGTTTTCTTGTCAACTCTCCAATCATCCCAGTCCACTGTGAATTATTACTTAAATAACCCCAGGTACCAACGAAAGAAAAGTTCATAGTGACGTTTAACATGTCTGCTAAATGTAGCATAAACACATAATTAACTTTTGTGATAGTATCAATATGTTTAAATCTTTTATCTAATAAATGTCGATAAGTTTCGTTATGTGTGACAACATTACAATTGTTCAAAGTGATATTTCCTAAATTTTGACGTCTAGTTGCTGTGATTCTTTGAAATTTAGCATTTGCAATAAAGAATCCTTTAGTAAACAACCCAAACTCTTCGTAAATTAGATTTAAATGTAATTTCCTTTTGTAGATTTTCATCAAATTGTATTCGAAAACATTTTCTTCATTTCCAACTTTTGTGCAAAAGTCACATCGCTGTCAACGAAAATTTCAGCGTGTTTAAATGTTTCCTCAACGTCAAATGATGTTAAATTAGTATCATGAAGTAGTAACCATTTATAAGGTACACCAAACATTTGATATTCATTCGCTTTCTCAATTAAAAAGTCTGTAAAAATACACGAAACATCGACAATGATTAAAGCATGTTCAACTGCTTTATATTCAATGTAAAATCCATCAAAATCTTTCAAAATCAATGTAGATATACCATATAATGATAGTCTTTTATCATTGATGTAATATCTGTAAATTTATTTGTTAGAATATGTTTAAAACGAGTTAAATTGCAATAATTACCTTTGTCTGCCGAACGACAAGAGTAAAACGTTACCATTGAAACAGAATCATAATGATTTGTCCGTAAAAGACTCAAAACAAGTTCACCTTCTTCAAAAATGATTAAAGACTCCCCATTAATACTTGCAGCAACTAGAAATAGCAGTAGAATTGTTTTTCGTTCATTTTGCGAGCGAAAATGTTTGATTTCTTTGCACAATGCGTGATTTTATAGATTTTTATATTTGTTGTGCAAATTTGCAGAATAATCATTGTAATAACATCAAATTACGCTTAATTCTCTTGATTTGCAAAGGATAATAAGTTTATTTAGCATTTACAACACAGAAATTGTATTATAATTTCACTTACTTTAAAATTTAATTCGAAATTTCTAATTACAAAATTACCTTTATCAAATATTTAAAACTTTGCGCTTTCTGTGTTCTACAAAACTTAATAATTAATTAAAGCGTATTAAACCAGTAGATTTAATCTAAATTATTTATTACAATATGTAATCTTTTAATATTTATTCACGTTATTGCATTATTTACGTGATATTACACAGTACAGCTTATTCATACCAGATGGCGCTATATGTATTGTGGTAAGAATAAAATATACGCGTGGAATGCGGCCTGGCTGCGCATGCGCGGCAACTTTACGAACCGTCGGCCGATCGGCTCTCAACTTCTAGCGCTTCTACCGGTTTGTACATGCGAATCCGCGTTGCACGGTCGCACATCTCGTCTCGTGTTTGTGTTGTTGCGCGTCTCCTGTGTGTGTTCGTCAAATTCGGGTGCAAGTGCATGTTATCCCCAAAATACGTAAGCATTCACCTCTCACATCGCAGAGATCCACATAAATAAAGTGTTACCAGACTTGAAAATCAGTTTAACAGTGTACCGTTCTTCAGCGGTGTGAATTCTATCGAACGAGTCCGCATCCAAAACATGAGAATGTAACGGTTTACGGTGCATCCACAGGTGTCCTCGTCGAGATAGTTTCGGGCGTGAATTGATTGTTTATCAATCGTTGGTTGGTGATAGTTATGTTGGCATAGGTGAAGAAAACACGAGAATTGTTATCGCGGCAGGTCGGGAGGACATCTTGGTGCTCGTGATGACTCCTTCGGCGCACCAGCGGCGACAATGAAGAACAAGAACAAGAGGAACAAACAGAGTGTTGTTAGTGTGGCTATGGGCATTGCAGGAAAGATGGAAACATTCGTGCGTCGGATTGGTTTTGGATTGGGAGTTTTCATCGTTACAGTCTGCATCGTCGCACCTACAACTCAAGGTAGGCAAAGGCAAATTACTTTCAACCATGTCATATATTACCACTTCTCTTCATTCAGTCCATTGACTTTACTTAAACTAAGTTATTCTTGAGTTATACAAACAAAACAATTGAAAGTAGCATCAAACATTAAAAATCCATTGTTTCAGAATGATTTAAGGTGTTTTAAGTGTAAAATTGTGCAATTTTGTGTTAATTCTTACCATTAATGAATGATTAGTCATTGGAGTTAAGTTGTATCCTTGCAAACATCTTTCTAATTGAAATTCACATTATTAATCAGCCAGACGAGGTGAACCGGCAAGAATTGTCGGTCAACTTTGCTGCCATAATGTTTGTTTCTCCATTAATGTTATTTAATACAATATACAATAGTAGGTTAACAAAGATAGCCTTGAAATAATAATGGCAATGCATAAGTTGCACACCATGCACTTCTCGATGTGTTTTTTTAAATTTTATTCTCTGTGGTATATTACGAACGTGCCATTTCTGTGTTGATTCTTATCGCGTCATTGTTTAATCTTAATTCCGATTGAATTATTGCAGTAGGAGTGGTGTTTTTTCGGTGTAAAATTGTAAATTGTGGTATTTCAGTGGACATGCATACGGACACGTTTGCATTGGGATTTATAGTATTAGTATTAGTGTGAAAGCGTAGTAGAATAATTCATTGCCAGGTGCAAGTTTTGTCGGGTTGTTGGCACCAACCCTCGAACCAGTATTGAGGGTGATTTTTGCCGACGCGCCAACATGTTGGGGTTTTTGTTCGACGGGGCTAGAATTTCTCTTGCATCGCATCCGGTTTTACGTTTTTACCTAGATAGAGGCTCATACCTCGAACGCCAGGCGCAACCTTCACTCATTCTGTCTGTATGGTATACAAGAGGATGCGTGTAATGGTTGGGTTAGGTGGGGAGGGGCTATTAGTGGAGTTTGAACAGTTGAAGGTATGGGCGGTAGTTTTTGCCCTTTTGAACGGGCTTGTCATGCGGTGCAATGATGACATGCCGGTGAAGGTGAGCTGAGTAAATATCGGCGGCGGGTAATTATCTGTAACTTACTTGCTACCTACAAAAGTCATCATAGGTAGTTTTATATATTACTAGTTAACCGGGCAAACGTTGTTTTGCCATATAAATTATTTCAAGTTTCTAGATAAATTTTAGTGTAGACAAAAAGTAACTTACTTATTATAAAAAATAGGGGTTGGTGATAAGAAACCAAAAATTTAGGGTTGTATGTATATTTTAATGCCACATTAAAAAATAAAACAAAAATTTCGACCAAAATTTAAAAAAAATTAAGGGTGAACAACCCTTATCACTTAGAGATATGAAGTTACCGATTCTCAGACCTACTGAATACGCATATAAAAATTTTCTTTGAGCGGGATGAAAAATGATTAAATTACTAAAATGGCTATAAAGAAATAGGGGTTGGTGATAAAAAACTAAAAATTTAGGGTTGTATGTATTTTTTAATTCCACATTATAAAAAAATAAAAACAAAAGAATTTGTCCAAAAAATTTAAAAAAAAAGTTAAGGGTGAACAACCCTTATCACTTAGGGGTATGAAAAATAGATGTTAGCCGATTCTCAGACCTACTGAATTCGCATATAAAATTTGGTAAAATCGGTAAAGCCGTTTCGGAGGAGTATGGAAACAAACACTGTGACACGCAAATTTTATATATATAGATGTTCTGGTAGTAGGGAAAAAAATGATGAGATTAGGGCCACGTAAATCTGAAGCGTTAAGTCATTAACGCATGCGCAACAGAGATGTAGTATTTTTATTAGGTTGAGATACAGTTTTTAAATTTTGACTTCGGATTAGTAATAGGACTAGTATCACATTTGACTTGCGTAAGAAGAGTCTTGCGCATGCGCAAAAGAACAATAAAATTTGAATTTGTATTTTTAGGGTGTTGTGATACATTTTTTAAAATTTGTAGACTATATAGTAAAAGTAAAACTAGCGTTACTTACGGCTTAATAGGGAAAATCACTTGCGCATGTGCAAAAGAGCAAAATTTTATTTCACGTTGTTTTCCGAATTGTGTCGCAAAATTTTTAAATTTTGAACTTTATATTAGACGAACAATGTTCAAAAATTAAAAATTGGAACGAAAAAGCAAATTTCTCATTTTTACCTTGAAAAATTTTAAAATGTAATATTTTACCACCTGGTATTGATTTATATAATAAGTATTGTACCGGATATACGAAAATATATGAAGATGAAAAGATAAACCCCGTGATTCGGTAATTACAATAGCGCACGCTGATAACATTATATCCGATGAATCGAACCCGATTGGACCGCATGCAATTTATGCCGCCTCCATTATGTAATTAAATCGTCCCGGACTGCCGATCACACTGCGCCACACACACAGCCAGACACCGCAGCACGCATCAGACAAAACTCGATTGAAAGCCACAACTAATGCAGTTGATCCAACCATCAGCAAATGCAGCGATAACAATGTCAGTTGACAGTTGGGAGTAGTAGTTCCTAGTTGATAAAATAAAAATGACCATCAGAAAATGAATTCAATTGATAAGCAGTCATCATAAATTTCGATGGAACTTGAAATTATCGAAGGGGTCTCTGACTTCGAAACGACACTGATAAGATATCACAGGGGTTATTTAATTATTTATTTTAAAAGGTTATCAATTAAAATATAAAAAGGAGACGTTCAATGTGGTAACATTTTGTTATGACTGATAGTTGAGTATAATTAATGAGTGTTTATCTAACTTTCAATCAATTTTAAGCACTTGCACTAATTTCTCGCGCGTAACACAAACAAATTTCGATCTTAAGCGATTTGAATCTTGTGCAATTAATCCGTGCGCATCATATTTACAAGAGAAACTACGCAACATGCATATTAATTTAACTGTGTGCGTTTTGCTTAACTTAGTTAACCTAATTTCAAATCCGAATGAAAACCAACAATTAAATCGAGAGAGAAAAAATATGAGTGTGTGTTTAGTGCGGGTTTGGATTGTAAAGGAGTGGAAGCAGTAGAGCGTTGAAGCATATCGGGTATTTAAGCATCATATAATGAGATCTTGTTGTTTTTTTTTTGTTCTACCGCTTCTTCTGGTCGGTGGATTGCTAACTG